CTGCTGCATTTTCTGCAATATTTTCCAACTCGAAACTCCCCGTTAGCCATCCGAAATCACCCCGAGGCCCCCGGGACCTCAACCAAAAGCACCAACACATCCTAAAACATCATCCAAACTTGTTCCAATCATCAAAACACCTCAAACAACACCAAAACTATCAAATTACATCGGATTCAAGCCTATGTTCTTCTAAAACTTCCAAAACACGCATTCGATAAAAAACCCAATCAAAACACCTCCGAATGACCTGCAATTTTGCACACACATCACAAATGACATAACGAAGCTACAGCAACTCTCGAAATTCCATTCCGACCCTCGAATCAAAATCTCACCTATCAACCGGAATTCGCCAAAATACTAACTTCGCCAATTCAAGCCTAATTCTACACCGGACCTCCAAAATCAATTCCGATCACGCTCCTAAGTCACAAATCACCTAACGAAGCTAACCAAATCATAAAAACTCCGATCCAAGCTCATATACAAATAAGTCAACTCTTGGTCAAACCTTTCAAATTCAAGGCTTTCAACTGAAACTGTTCTTTCAAATTCCTTCCAAATTTTCCTGAAAATCAAAACCAACGATCTACATTAGTCACAATACATAACACGGGGCAAGTCATGCCCGAGAACTGGCAATCAAAGTGCAAAAGCTCGACACGACCGGTCGGGTCATTACATATCCCCATTCTCGTTCAATAGTTTATGGAAGTATGACTGCCACATGCGCCTAATGTACGCCTCTTCCACCAATATCTTTCCATCCTCGTCTTTGATGCACCTCACTTGGTCCAGGTCCCGAGAATTCCTTTCTCAAACCTTGGCTAACCTGAACAGTCTCTTGTCACAGCCTCTGCCCCCAAGTTCAGCATACAGGCGTTCAAATATTGCAGTCTTAGCCTCCGTGACCGCTAACTTTGCCTCTTTCTTAGCCTTCTTGTAACACTCCCTAAGCATCCTCCTCTCCTCCTCGTCAACGTTCTCCACTAGCTTCATATATGCCACTTTCTTGGCTTCTACTTTACCTTAGACCTCTCCATTCAATGCCCGTTCCAAATTTATAAGGGGTAAGGCTTGTGCCTTAGGCCCTCTAATTTGGGGGGGAGGGGGGCATTTTTAAAAAATAATAAGTTCATAAGTATTTAAAAAATAATTTTTATACTTTAAATACAAAAATAGAGTTTTTAATCTAAAAGGAAAGAAAACTTTTTAGATATATAAATAAGGTAATAACTTGACTTACTTAAAAATGAGTAGATGAATAGTTTTACCAATGTTTTAATTTTCCACGTTTTATTCCTTCGTTAAATTTTTGCTCTTTCTTCCTTAATTTGTCCATATCAATCTTTCTTTTTTCTAATCTCTTCATATTTCAGAAAATCCTACATATTTTTTGTTTCTCTTTGATATCCCTACTCACTTTCTTTCTCCAACATTTTATTACTCACCTTCTTTCTCAAAGATTTCATTAGTTCAAGTGTTCAATAATATGTTTAAGTTTCCAATAGTTCTATACTTCTATTGATGTAAAATCTTATCTAAGATCAACAATATTCAAGAAAGATTAAATGAGTTGGTTATTTTATCAGTTGAACATGAACTATTAGAGAAAAACGATTATAAAAAAAATTATTAACAACTTTGTATCTCAAAAAATTAGAAAAATGGACTTCAATAAACATAACTTATAATATTTTTTTTTAAAAAAAATTTAGGCCCCATATTAAACTATGGCTTTAGGTACCGTATGTGCTTGAGCCACTCCTGTCTCTATTCCACCACCAATCACCTTTGTGGCCCTCGGAGAAATCCTTTGTGACCCCTAACACCGCTCTAGCAGCTTTCCTAATGCAGTTTAATGTCAAGGTCCACATACTACTCGCGTCCCCACAACTCCCCCAAGCTCCTATATCTAACGACTTCTGCCCCAATTCCTGAGCTTTGTGCTCAGTCAAGGCTCCCCACTTCATCTAAGATTAACCAAACACCGTTCTCTTCTTCTTCTCCCACTTAATCTCCAAGTCCATAACCAAGAGCATATGTTGGGTCGAAAGCCACTCACTCGGAATAACCTGCAATCAGTGCATAGGCCTTTATCCCTCTTCCTGCAGAGTAAGTAGTCAATCTAAGTCTTGGACACCACGCTCCGAAACGTGACCAAATGGTCCTCCCTTTTCTGAAAACACGAGTCAGCTAGCACCAAATCAAAGGCTCTAGCAAAATCCAGCAACGAAGTACCACCTTTATTCCTAACTCCAAAATCGAACCCACCATGCACATCATCATAATCCCTAGTCATCTCCCCAATATGACCATTAAAACCACCTCCTATGAAAATTTTGTCGGAGTACGGAATACCACGCACCGCCTCATCTAAATCCTCCCACAATTTCCTCTTGAACTCCTCTACCAAGCCCGCTTGCAGTGCGTATACACTAACCACGCTTAAAGTGAGCCCACCAACCACTAGCTTAATAGCCATCAATCTATCGTTCACCCTCTTAACATCAACCACCAACTCCCTAAGATCCCTGCCTACTAAGATACCTACCCCGTTCTTGCCCCTAGTACCCCCAACACCCCCTTAGTACCCACAATTTATACCCGTTAACCTTACGTGCCCTAGTACCCACCCATCTAGTCTCCTGGACACACGCTATATTGATCCTCATCTTCTGGAGAATCTTTCATAGTTTTAGTCCATATGAATTTCAAAAATGACCTCGACCCTCTCGAGTTGGGGTTTAAACGATACCAAAACAGGATTCAAGGTATTTAAAATTTCTTTCGTTACGAATTTTATCAACCATTTGTTGATTTGCATTTCTATGTCTACTAGTCTTAATGTACATGCGTTGCGGGTGTTCTTCGTGTTGATAAAAACAAATTTTAAAAACAGCAAATACTAATATTTATTGGTTAGAAAAGGTAGAATGTAAAACTGACCGTCTATTTGCGTAAAATCCCTATTTTTCAATCAAAACAATTGAATTATATTTATTGCGTCCTAATAGAACTATGTTTTTTTAACGTCCTAACTGTTAATATAATTGAATTATAGTTAACAATTTAAATAAGAAAATGACTTATGTAAGTCAAAAAATTCTTGATTTTGTATTCCTAAATATTAGAAGTTCCTACATAATTTAAAAAGGAAAGAAAATTTTAGTTGATTTTAAAGTCCTAAAAATTAGAAAAATTATTTAATTACGATTTTGTCTAGTGTGAAACCTATTTTAAAACTATTTCAAAGTCTTAGTCTTAGTGTATGTGCTTTGCACATGTACCCATAGCAATATTATATAACTTTAAAAAAATCACATTATTACTTTGTTATAACGTATTTGAGTTATAAAATTAAAAGTAAAGGAAAAAGTGTAAGCTCCAAAAAAATTGATAAGTGATTATGTATATTTTAAAATTGACTATCGTTGGTTTACTATTTATAACATATAACTTAATACATTATAGTTAAATATTTTCAAATCACAAAAGAAAGGAAGAGAAGTAGAGAAGCATACCTAGAAGGGCTGATGGATGTATGTGTTCAGATACTTTCAAACGTGATGAATCCTCTTTTAATCCAAATTCTTAAATGGCTTAATCTTTTTTCTAAAAGAAAATTGAATAGAATGGGATAAAAAAAGGAAAATACATTAGCCTAAATTTTGAAAGATGCTATTCGATAAGAAAGGAAAACTGAATATTAGACACAAATCTTAACCAACGTAATCTTGTTTTCTTAAAGAAATTGAATTGGATGGTCAATAAGAAAAAAAAAGAGAGGCTTAAATGGAAAATAATTCTTCCAAAGCAATATAAAAGCATCAAAAACAAAAATAACAACAAACCAAAACAAGAAAAGACTACCAAAGCTTACAATATTATTCTAAAGAACTGTTGGCGACTAATTTTAGCCCTCCTTTTTCCTAATCAATTTCTCTATACTTCCTAATTCTTAATAATTACTAAATATATTTGACATATTTTTATCCAAAATATTTGTTATATTTTTCTAGCCTCAAGATTTTTAAAATAAAACATAATTATTAGCCTAATATAATTTAGCATAATTATTTATTGTAATTATATCGTTATTATTATTATAGTTACTTAATCATCATCATATTATTATCTAATGCAATGCATCGTAATAATTAATACAAGCATTATTTTCCAATTATAATTTATTTCTCTATTTCTATTCTATATATAAATGCATAAATACTAAATATTAATTTCTACAACAATATAATATAATATATTTTATTATAAATTATTAGAAATATGGAAGCATAGTAAAATTTAAAGTGAAAAGGACTTTTAAATGTAAATTGGATCATCTTGGTAAAGTTCAATGTTATTTAAGAAGGGCCAATTCTTATAATATATATTCTAGATTTCTTACCCAAAAAGAGGAAAAAATTAGACCAAAATAGCCCAAATCGGAGGCCCATACCTACCAGACCATCTACTCTATTCTACCTCCATGTATGCGCCACATAAGATCCATGTTAGCGACACCTAAGCTCCCAACAACTAAAAACACACGCCTAACACATGCCCTCCTCATCCCTTCACACTTTGACCCCACATCTTGCCACGTGGATTCATCTGATCAAGTTAATTTTAAATTAATGATCAAGATCATTTTCTTATATCTTCTAGAGAATTCCAAATAAATGCTTGCTTTATTTATTTTATTATAGGTTATTTACTTATGCCAGGATTAATATCAGCCATTAGATGCATCTAATCCAACGGTTGGATTTCTTCCTAAAATTAAAATCAAATTTGACTAGGGTTCCATCTCTTTCCCTCTTTCAAAGAAAACAACGTGTCTTTTTTTCTCTGCCATGGCAGAGGGTTTTGGCTCTTTCTCTTTTCTTAGCAAAATTTGACTCCCATATCTTATAATCAGAAATTTGTGTGGCCACTCTAAGGAAATTCTCTCCAAACTCAAAGAAATTTGACCGAAGAATTCAAAATTCATTTGCCATTTACAATGAAGTTGACAAAGGTAAAAAGGGTTCTCTTTTTCATCTCTTAAAAAATTCGGCAACCGAATCCCTGCTCCTTTGCCCATATCGTCCTTTGCTTCCTGCTACACAACATTTCAAACGGTTCTTTAGCCGTTTGAAATCCTAACCCTTCAATAATCCCGCCCAAATTAACCCTAGACGAACCCTAGATCGTCTCCTATAAATAGGAGTGTTGGTGACAATTTCGGGGATATGAAAAAAGCCATCACTCTTACTCTCTAAAAACTACAGTTCTCTACTTATTTTTACCCCCCTAAGATACTCTCAGAATTTTCGACTTGCTCTCCCTTACCTCTGTCGTTCCCAGTTGTGATTGAGGTGGTGTTTCGAGTTTGTCAATCCGAATCCGAAGATTTGAGTAGCCGCTAAAAATCGCTCCAGTTTGTTGCACTACAAAAGGTCGATTATTTTTTTTCGTTCTCCTTCTTTTAGATTGTGCAATTTCAGATGAATCCATGTTTCAGTGTTTGCTTGTGAAAATACCGCTTTCGGTTTTATTTTTTTTCTTTTCTGTGTTAGACATCATGACTTTAAGTTTTCAACAAGCTTTGTTAAGCCGTTAACTCAAGTTTTTCATTCTGTGTTAATTGCTTTTTTTTTTTTTAGAAATCATGTTTTAAGAAATTAATTTTATAAAAAAGATCATGTTTTAGTTACTAACTATATAGCAGAAACCATGTGATAAGAATCTCCTTCCTTTGCTAGTTGAAGTGTTGAATTTAGCTATTATTTGTGTAGTAGAAAACGTGTTTTCTTAGGACTAATTATGGACTATGAGAAAATGTATGTGGAAAGTTAGATCCAAAATTTCTTTTAATTATCTTAATGCCTCACAACCACGATTTTATCACCTCATTTATTAAGCATGGAAATTGTATAGCTAAAAACAATTTCTGTAGTAAGGAATGAAAGTAACTGGTCGTTTTGCTTTCTAGAATCCCGTTCTCCTAAATAAGACTTTCCGTACTTACTTTACTGATTTATGACTTGCAGGGAGGGTTGGTTCGGGATTTGGAAGAGTTTGGGTTGAAATCGGAACACTAGGTTCCTTAAGGTTGGCTTAAAAGGCCAAGTTTGACTTCGGTCAATGTTTTGAGTAAACGACCTCGGATCAGGATTTGAAGGTTCCAACAGGCTCGTATGATGATTTCGGACTTGAGCGTATGTCCGGATCGGGTTTTGGATGACCCGAGAGCGTTTTGGCGCCTAATAGTGAAAGTTGATTCGTTAAGGATTTTGAAGTTCTTTAAATTTGGTTTGGAGCGGATTTTTGTGTTATCGAAGTCCGAATGAAATTCCGAGACCGGGAATAGTTCCATATTGTCATTTAAGACTTGCACGCAAAATTTGGTGTCAATCCGAGTAATATAAATACGTTTCGGCGCATTGGAGGTAGATTGAAGAACTTGAAGTTCATAAGTTTGATTCAATTGGTTTTAGGGGGTGATTCTTAGATTTAGCATTTTTTTCGGGCGTTCCGAGGGTTCGAGCGAGTCCATTTTATGATTTCAAACTTGTCGGTATGTTCGGGCGGGGCCTCGGGAGCCCCGAACGTCAATCGGACGAGGCTCGAGTTAAGTTGCAAATTTGAGAAGGAGCTGAAGCTCCAGTTCTGTCATAACCGCACCTGCGGTTGTCCAGCCGGAGGTGCGAGACCGCATGTACGACTTAACAATCGCAGAAGCGGCCCAAGGGGAGGAGCCCAGGTTCCGTAGATGTGGCTCCTCTTCCGCATAAGCGGAACCACATAAGCGGTACCCAGATTGCAGATGCGGCCCCAACTAGTGGGCCCAATTTCGCAGAAGAGGACTACCCCTCGCAGAAGCGAGACCGCAGGTGCGAAAATCGCAGAAGGCAGTGCCTTCATTTAATTCGGCAATGTGTCTTTTTTGACACATTTCATTCATTCCTTGGGCGATTTGGGAGCTTCCAAAGAGGAGATTTCAGCCTAGCATTTTGAGGTAAGCTATTTCTACTTAATGTGAGTTTAATACATAGTTTAGGGGTAGATTATACCATGTAAATTAGTGAAAATTGTGGGTTTAGAGTAAAATCTAGTGTTTTGATAAAAATAAGATTTAACCACGAAATTCGTTAGGAAATGAAGTAAAAATCATATATTCTTGATCCTTAGGTTATGGGTAACAACTTCCTTCGAAAATTTCCGGAATTCGGGCACGTGGGCCCGGGGATGAATTTTAGGAACCTTGCATTTAGGGTTGGAAAAGTACTTTAATAATTAGAATATGAACTCTTGAGCATGTATTGACTAGTTCTTACCCCATTTGATTAGCTTTGGATCGTTCAGCTCCGATTTGAGGGTTTGAGCGCATTCTTGTAACGACCCGACTGGTCGTTTTGAGCAATTGCGTCCGGTTCGGCAGTTTGAGATCACGAGTAGCTTCATATTATCTGTATCGACTTGCGTGCGCAGTCCGGG